ATATACACTCAATCGAGTCAATAGATTAAAAATTACAAATCTAGACAGATCGATATAGAGTGGTTTGGTTTAAACTATCGCAGCATTATTAGTCGGCTCACAAAAATAAAGGGAGCATAAGGTTAGAAAATTTAACAACCAAGTTTGCATTGAAGTTGATATCAAAGAATGAATACAAAAGATGGAGTTAAGACTTAGACTAAACAAGGCATAAAAGGAAGAAAATTACATACTTAGTAACATTCGAAATATTCACAAAAAAATAAAGATTGTGAGAAACCCGGACACTATTAAGCATCCATATAGGGGTTATATGTGGTCTGATCTTAGTCGTCATGTCAGAAAGACTTGGTTGTACATACCTTGTCCAAAGTCCGAAAGTCTGAGAATGTACCAAGTCCATGATCATAAAATGGAAATTTTCATAACAACTATAGCAGAGGACTTCGGAAGAAGTGAGTCCATGACGAATTTGCGAAAACTAATTTCATTTATTGAAAGGACTTTAAAACAACTTCATTGCATTCATAACTAAATAAGGTTTTTCAATAAAATTTATATTTAAAAAAACTCTGAGGTGCCTGGTGTCGTAAAACGCCAACACAGTTTAAAATGTTAGATACCAAATTAAAATTCGGCAAGATATGAGACAGAGACCCAAAAAAGTGACTCGCCTCATTGTGCACGTAAGCATCACAGTCGTAACACCAGGCGGATAAATCGGAGTAGCTCATTGCCATAGGATGGGACGTAGTAGAATGATGCCTCAGCATGTGACCGCGAGCAAAACGGCCACAAAACACCTGTATAAATAGAAAATAGAAACTTGAAAGTTAACGGAAAAAATATTAAACGAAAATAAGAATTTATGCGAAATAAAATATAAAAAGACAGAGAATAAAATAGGGAAAAGGAACTAAGATTTTCAATCCCAAACTTGCTTGATGTAGTTTCCATTGAAACGGAAGCGCAAATGAATCTAAAAAATTAAGATACCCGCTAGCAAGTCAATATGCTGATCCTCGCATTATATTTTCCTAAAACCGATCAGATCAGTACTAGCTTCCATGTCAAAGTTGACGATAGAATAACAATCTTTGCAGCGTATGTAATGCTGAAGAGATTCCTTTAAAGAAATTTTAACCAGTCCTCAATATAAAATACGCAATACAGCAATTATAAAAAAACGATCAAGAGCACAACCGAGCATTAGTGATTAATATTAATTTCGCGTAAAGCTAAAGGACAAAATGAGCTAATGAATAACTTAGATTGCTCGGTAAAAGTGATTCCATAAAAATTTTAAGATGAAATCAAGTGCGAGAGCGAAAATTTCTCTTGCAATAAGTTTATACAGATGTATTGTAATATTTTCAGATGTAGTATCTTGTTTGTCTTAATCGATACAAAAAGCTGAAAAAGTGCTACATGTTTAAAGCTTTTAAAACCTCCTAAGGTTAACATTTATTCATTTTGCTTAGATCAAGTAATGAAATGGAATAATCTTGGTCTTGACGCTAAATGACTTCTGTGTTAAGTAGCCAAGTTAATAAATACCTGGTAGCATGTCAAGCAAACCCAGTTTTCACTGCGATTATCGCATTCACCACATTGGCTGTTTCTGATGTCTGGGATCCAGTTGACCAAGGGAGGCCTGGTAGCTGTCAGATGTTGGCACCAGGATAGCGGTTCAACTGCGAATATTCTTTCCGGAAGTTGATCACTGGTATTCTGTAAAGGAATGAGAATGTACTCTCAGAAATACAGAAGACTAGAGGCAGTGTAAGTAGCCCATATTTTCTACATTCAGGCATAAGAATGGATAATAAAATAAAAATTATAAATGAAGGAAAAAGTAAAATTTGAGGAATCAATTCAAATTCTAGTGGTAATGATAGTGGCCATTACTTTGGCAAGAAAGGTTGAAACAGTAGTACTGATCGACAAATAGAGGATAATAGGATAGTGAGGATATAGAGGTGAAGTTGGCCAACGAATTTGAAAAGATAACATTGCGGTAAGCATCTTAGAGTTATACAAATGTACATTTAAAACTGAATCGCCCCTTACCAGGCCGAAGAATGAGTGTATGTCATCTGTATTAATGCCGGCCGCCAGTATCAGAGTGCTGACCGAGGCGCTGCCCAAAATACGACTACCGCCACTACTGCTAATCGGCAGAGCAGAAGAAGAAGGAGCTTCAGAGCGCTCACCACTGTTAGCCGGCGTCTCGGAGATATCCGGTGTGACAAAAGTGGTCAAAGACGATACTAGAGGACCTACAGCAGAAAATGGCACATTAAGACTAGTGGTAGCAGCGGCGTGCTCCGGGGTTGATGAGCACAGCTGTCTTTCTCCTGGATCTTGGGGTCGATATGTTAGGACGGGCATGGATAGGAAAAATACAAAAAAGCATCATACGAGAAGAAAGAAATCAATGTGGCTTAGATATACTCAGGAAAAAATAATGTTGGGATAATGGAGATATGAAAACTAAGATTTTGTGGCCACTGGTATGGCCGCAGTCTCCTTTCGATGTATAGAAGTGGGTTGAACTCGTCTCAACTTGGTCTTGTTGTCAGGGTGACTTAGTCATCTGCTATAGTAGATGTCATGAATCCAAGCATCATACAGTGGACTTGGTACCTTCTCAAACGTTTCGCCTGCATCGTAGCCGGAATCATCAGTGAGTTTTGTCATTCTCGGCACCAAGCTACGTACTCGTCAAAAGAGACAAGTGAAGTCAATATCTCGACAAACGTTCTGGCGAAAACGGTTACATTATCACTCCTCTTTCTGTCCTGGCCTATCTATCTACTCTTTATACTCGTTCCTTATCTTTCTGGTAGACCGATTTCACTTGGTTTCAGGCCCAGTGCAAATTTCACTCCAGGCGCTATTTCTCAAGGCCATAAAAAACACCAACACTGCCGCTTCACTGAGCAGAGCGCCTAAGCTCTGATTCCCATACTTGCAGATATCAGGCTTTCCCTTCATGGGTCATCTACTTGATTAAATCCATGTTATCTAAGCAAACTGTGGACGCCTATATCTGGTCGCATGTGGCATTTCAAGTGGATTTATTGTACATTTTGACCATAACGCCGAATTTTCCTGACGGTTTGCTTACCGTCAACCCAGCTGCATGACTGCCAGGCCCCTAAAAGTAGTACTGGTTTATTCGAAAAGGACACCACTCACTGAAAACGTTTTCGCTTGATTGCCTAATCTACCCTCCCCCCCTTTCCTCATTGCAATCCATTTTCCTCCAGTTAACGATAGATCCCTGATCCAGGCGTCTGTTTTTTGCTGGTCTTTCTCTATTCTCGTTTTCCCCGAGTTTGCTTAGGCAGTAGGCAAGTTATCGCTAACTCTACCTTCTTCCAATCTCCTGTTCATTAGATTTTTTCCCCCAAGAATGCCAATGGTCTCCCTAATTTTGTGCTTCCTTGTGTTTTTCCCCAAATGGAGCTCTTCTTTCTGTTGCCTTCCAAATGAGCTTGTGTCCACTATGTGCGATATGTCCCACTAGTTCTGATATTTCGGTATTCATTTTCCCACAGAACCTCTGATATTCCTTAATTCATGTGCTGATTTTTCTCACTGCTTCGCCAATATATTTCTGTTCGCAGGCAGCGCATGATATATAGTAAACTCCTGAACAATCAAATTTAGCTACCATTTCATGTTGCGTCGGTAGACTTGTGAAAAGTGTTGATTTCCCTTTCATGGCCACCTGAATATTCAGTTTACTCTATACACTTCTTTCTGAACAATTTCTTTTCGAGTATCCCAATAGAGCAAATCACTTCAACTTCCAGGAACGGTAACCGCTCACCTTCCTCTATTTCACTCGGGAATTGAATTTGTTCGTCAATCTGCTGGACAAACTTCAGAAACTCTTCCGTGTGAACAAAGTGCGAAATGATCATCCAGGTACCGCATGAGCACTGCCAGTTGTAGGGATGCCATTTTGAAGTTATCTTCTATTTTGTTCAGGTATACGCTTGCCAAAAGTGGTGAGAGCGGCGATCCCATGGGAAGTCCAAATATTTGTTCATAGATGTTGCCGTTTAAAGTAAAATATTTTGTCCTTTTTGTCAAGTTGATTAGTCTTATTAACAACTCCCTACCGATCCGTTGTGATTCCAGGATATCCTCCTCTTGGTCCAGGATTTCCAGGAGGGCCGTAGCGCATTTTACCCTCCGTCTTTGTCCGCCTGAATGATTAATTGTTCATTTGATTCCAAGGTGTTTGTGTATCACAGAAAATCTGTTCCTGTATATTTGCTTCTGATGTGTCAAGATGTTTGGAATTAATTCAACCTCCATTTCCCGTTTTGTCTTCTCAGGGAAATTGTCGGCGATATTGATAACCCCCATCAGGATGTCTCCTAGAAATCTTATGTGATTATTTATTAAAAAATTCAGTCCTTTTTCAAGGAACACAGTTGTTTAGGGATCTACCGCTAACCGGAGAAAAAAGGATCGCAATGAAGAAAGTGGGGGTCAGGGGTTTTCAGCAATCAAGCGAAGATGTTGTCAATGGGTGATGTTTGTTTTGAATAAACCAGTATAACTTTGGGGGCCTGACCGTCAGGGAGCTGGGCAGAACTATAATGAAATCGTCACGGAAATTTGCCGTTATGGCCAAAATGTACTAGAAATCCACTTTAGAGGCCTCAAGCAACCAGAGATG